TCTATCATATATATATATATATATATATATATATATATATATATATATATATATATATATATATAAACCATTAATATTGCTGATCATCTTGATAATTATGAATCTTGTGCAGCTTGGGTTTAGGGCTTATTATTCTATCAAAGCGGTCACACGTTAATTTATAGCTACAGCTGTGTTTGTTGTAGCCGTTTTCATTAGTTTACAAAAAATAAATAACGTCTGACATTATTTAAAATTATCTACTTAACTTCAACTTTTGTAAAGAGTTGTTAATTTTGTGAAACCTTATTTCCTGTCTTGCTCTACCTCGTGTGTGCGAACAATGTGATGCTTTAATGTCTGCGAACAATAGTTATTTGACTTACAGCAGGATTACAGAATGGATCACTATATAAATGTTATAGGGAAGGTAATTTGCTGATTCAACAGATGATGACGACAATTTAATGGTTCAAAACCCAGGTGGTTTTTTTATTTTTTTCTCAGAAAAAAAATACTGAAATTTGCTTTAGAAGATTTATTTTTTAAAGTTTTAAAGTGTTCTAGGACAGTTTTGTTAGCACACCTTGTCTCCACGGTTTGCCTCCCGTGAGTTGAAGGCAGAACCTGCTTCTCCCTTTGGTCCAAATGGACCCCGGTCTCCTTTCTCGCCTTTGTCCCCTCTGTCTCCCTTCTCTCCTTTAGTAACACAGTTTAGACACAGTCGTTAATATAACAGATTAACAGCAGTTTTCCAAGTATCAAACTGAACAAAACCTGCTTCCAAAAGAAGCAAGAAGAAAAGTGAAATTAAAGGAACCCACTTGTTGCTGGATGGAGCATGCATGCATGTACATTTGTAATTTATGGGACATTTTAAGGCAGTAAGAGAACAAACATCTTGCATCTTCATGCACAGCTGTCCTGATGTGACCCACACTGACCCAGCATGCTTCCACCCCCACTGAATGAGTCACTTTTAGTGGAAACCGTGTAAAGTGCAGCCTGGTGGTTGGTTATAGCACAACATGATGACATTCAGAGCAAAACGACTTCAGCTGTGCAAACATCTTTAATGTTTCTAACGAGCCATTGCTGAAGTTATTTCACTTTGGAATAAACGGCAGATTTCAGATCATTATTAGTTTCAATGAAATCATATTGTCTTCATCTCTTTCCAGCTGTTATCTTTAATTAAAGTAATTTTTTTTCATCACTTGTAGCCAAAGTTTCCACATTTCCATGCACCTGACCTAGACATATGCCCAACACCTCATATAAATTAAAACAACATAAAGATAATAAAATATTCCAAAGCACAAAGAGGAAAAAACAAGCTTGTTCTGGATACTTGGAGCTCACCTGCTGAACCAAGATGTCTGGACTTGGAGTCCACGGAAACTAAAAATTGCTCTGAGTCACCAGCTAAACACACAAAAAACAGAGTTAATCTATTTCCCTTAAATAATAGCTTAGCGGAGAATCTGCTGCTGTTTTGTCAATTAAAACCTGGAATTTTAGAAGAAATCTATTTTTATTGGGTTTTTTTTTTTTAGAAGAAACAGCAGAAACAAAACTTGTTAACATGCAAACATGAGCACTTTGTGCAGATTACCATATTTTTCGGATTGTAAGGAACATTAAGCGAAACAAAACAGTCAGGTCAAACTTTATTCAACTCATTCACAATAACTCTCAACATTGTTCAGTTGTACCACATAAAATTGGTTTGAGGTCAGTAAGCACAACCAGAATTAATACATAAGGTGCACCGGATTATAAGGCTCAATGTCGATTTTTGAGAAAATTAAAGGACTTTAAGTGCCTTATAGTCTGAAAAATACAGTAAGTCTAAAACATAGGTACAGAAAAATATCTACAATAAAGAAATGTATGTATTCTCTTTAAATTGTCCTCAAATTTAATCTAAAACAGACTAAATAATTTCCAGTTGAGTGCGGCCCGGAATGAAATACTATGTTTTTGCCTTTTCACTGATCAAAACGATTCTTTGGCCAACAGGTACAGCTGAAAATGCATAAAATAAAAATGTTTTTCAACCCATTTTAAGTCATGTGCGAACATGGGTCAACAATTATTAGACATTTATGAATATAGCCCCTCCCCCCTCCCCCCAATCAATCAGTTACACCACAATAAAACAGACATGACACTGAAATCAACACAAACTGGGAGTTGAAACTGAAGGGTGTGAAACAAGAGTGAGAAAAATCAGATGTTTTGGTCAAACTGGAGTCACAAACCAAACTAATTACCAGACATGATGAAATGTCAAAGAGAACAATTACATTGTAGGTGAAATTAAGCTGCTTTGCTCAGACATGAAAAGCTTCAGAGCATTAAACTATGAGGTCAGTTCCAATTTAGTTAGATGTGTTAAATTAAAAACATGTCTTTATAAAATACAGCATATAATTCTCAGATCCCAAACTGGTTCGACATGTTGAATCAACTGAGCAACCCATAAACAAATTTCCACAAAACTATCGGATGTTTCTAAATATTTGCCAATCAGCTCAAATTTATCTGATGATGTTGGAAAAACCTTTTGGCATTTTTGCATAAACTCAAAACTAATTTTTAGAAACTAATTCAGCAACAAAAGCTAAATTAAAATATATTATATATATATATATTTCATTTTTATGTGCAACTTATTTCCCAAAAAGGTTAAGAATTTGTGTAAAATGTAAAACCAAAAAAAAAAAAATAAATAAACAGAATGCACATTTTTCACATTGCGGCTGCATCACATCTTGTTGACAGCCAAATTTATGAACAATTTTTAACCTTTGATTCTTCTTCTTATTATTTTCTTCTGGAAATTTGAACTAAAAAAAAAAAGGGAGAACAAGAATAAAAACTTCCCAAGCTCCCACCAACTGCGTTAATCCATTTGGCCACTAGGTGGAGACATTTGTTTGTGCCTCAGACCTGCAAGTTGAAGGAATGTGGACCCTGCAGCTGTCAAAATATTTAACTTTATGCCCAACATTCATCAATAATCTCTTAAAAGCGAAACAGTTTTTTTTCCCCAACTTATTACCTTAAAATTTTCATAATCAAAATTACATTATGAAACAGATTTAACGCGTGTATGAGAACATTTAACGTAAACTTTTGGCATCTGCAAGAAGTAACTTTAAATGATTTAATTTTAAAATCTGTCAACATTATGTATGCATTTAGATTTAATCTCACCAGTTTCTTTGATGATCACTTCCTCCCCTTTCCTTCTCGGAGGTGGCTGCGGGATGGGTGGAAAAGACGGAGACGCAGTCTGCCAAAATAAAATATTTCAAGTAAAAACGAAGAAAAATGTTGTCCGTGGATGACATGTTGCTGGAAGCTGTTCTTCATTCACTGGGCCCGTTTCCACCTCCCACAGTGGATAACTCTGTAAACAATATTCCTTCATGGGAAAAGCGTTTCTCCTTGTAAACATTAATCACAAACAGAATGATTCATGTTCTGCGCCGCTTTAATGTTTAGAGATCGGATGTGCAAACAATCTAAAACAACTCCCGGGTCTTTCAGCAGCACAGTTAAATCAGCGTGGGGTGCATGGTGGTAATCACCATCAGAATATGTTGCAGAACTTCATGTGAACCGAAGGTACACACTTAAACCGTGTTAACTCCCAAATATATGTAGTAAATTTTGAAAGTAAATCTTAGAAGCTTACAGAAAATGATCCTTGTCTTTCATTCAACACAAAGATACCAACATTCAGAGTCTGCATCTGAGTTTAAATCTCTAGTTAAACTACTTAACATTATAGAAGAAAAATATAAATAAGTCAAGTGGAATTTATTTATAAAGCACATTTAAAGCAGCAGCTTTTACCAAAGTGCTTAACAATAAGACCAAGGCAGTAATTAAAATAATAATAATAATAATAATAATAATAACAACAAGGAAATTACCAAAGGGAACAGATGGAATGAAAACAAAAGGGGTCCAAGAATCGAGCCCTGAGGGACCCCACAGAAAAGAGGCACTGACATAGATACACTATTTCCAACCTTAACACACTTGTCACTTGCGTAAGAATGAAAATAAGTAACATAAAATGTTGGATTTTCAAGGCAGACTTGTCCAACTATAAATGTCTAATACGTGATGTGAGTCTTTTTTTTTTTTTTTCATTTTTTATTTACCCTTTATTTATACAGGTAGTCTCATTGAGCAACGAGGACTCATTTTCAAGAGAGACCTGTTTGGGGAGCAGATGGTGGGTTAAGGGCCTTGCTCATGGGCCCAGAGGGCGAATGAGGGTAGGGGCAAATGTGGGTGCTTCATCTACCCCACCCACATTTTTGACGTTGTTGGTACCGGGGCGTGATACATAAAACTTGTTAATAAGCAAAGAAAAAAAAAGAGAATTCATGAATCACAAATGTCCAGAAATCACAATTTAAAAATATCCAGCTTCTATTAAAAATAGCATTTCGTCAATATACCTGTAACTTTATCTCTGCATCACAATTTTATTTGATTTAAGCATAATTTTCAAGTTCTATCATCACCTGCTGCCATGAAAGGCCTGTGTCTGTATGTGTGCTTTCCGTTAGCAAAACATCTCATGAATGCCTAAAAGTGATCAAACTCAAAGTAATCAATGAATATCCACAACACTAAACCCAATTCAAGATGGCCGTCACAACTAATCAATCTAAGCGACGGCTCTAACTCAGTCAGTTTTATAGATGTTGAGCTAAAATTCGGTGTGGTAGTAGCTGAGAGTCATTCCCAACACATGCTTTGAATGTTAACAGATGGCATCGCATCTTTGTTTACAGCTTTTCCATGCAACATGCATTCCTGCAAAGAACGCAACTTTAATTTGTCGTGTCTTCGGCTGCTTTCTTTTGATGGTAAAAATGACAGCGCTCGTTACCCAGAAGCGAGGATTATTTCACTTATTGTGTTTTTGTTAAATATATATAGTCACGTTGAGGTTGGAAGGCAAGAGACAAGTCAAACAGACTGACTGGTTCCCAAAATTGTAGATGAAATAAATTTTTTTTTAAAATGCAACAACTCATTCTTCAGCAGTGACGTGCCTCAAATTAAAGTGGGGACAGTGCAGGAACATGTAGCAGAGAGAGGAGCTAATCACCCCTCCTGGGGTCGATAATTAACCTTTTTTTGTCCAGAGGAACATTCCTCCCTCGGTGTTGCGCAGCACTAACTACACAAAGAATTCTTCCACACCATCATTGACTCTTGGGAGTTGATTTATGAATTAATGTGATAAAGAATGCCCCACTTGTTTCCCCTCAGTGCATCAGAGACTGATGGGTGGGGGTGGGGGGTATCCTTTAGAGCACAGCATTGATGGACATGAACTAAAGTACCTCCTGGATGTAAGAACAGGTATGAAGAGGGAACATATTTCACCTCTACAGCTGAGAAGAATGGGTTATAGAACATGCTCTCTGAATTACAATAAATAAAACTAGAGAAATTGCATTTCCTGCAAAAATCCAGTGTGAATGCTTATTGTTAAAGAAGTTGCTAAAATCAGCTGAAATTAGCTAAAAACATGCTGAAATGTAGCTTAAATGGAAGAAAAAGCCTAAGTTAGCATAAAGAAAACAGATTTGCTGAATTAGATTTAAATAAGAAATGAGCACAAAAAATAGGAAATTAGCTAAAATAAAAAATTAAAAGCTGAAATTAACAAAAAGTAGCTGAAAATACCTGAAAAAGCAGAAAGAAGCTTAAACTATCAGAAGTAAGTGGACAGAGCTGAAAAGAGCTAAACAAAATATGTGGAATTAGACGAAAAAGTTCAATTTAGCACAAAACGAGCTGAAATAGCTGAAAAAGATGAAACTAGCAGAAATAAACTGAAAGGAGCATAGCCAGCTGAAACTGGAAGAAAAAAAAATTATTAGGCTGAAAGTAGCAGAAATTAGAATAAAACATGAATTTATCTGAAAACAGCTGAAATAAGCTAAAATGATAATAAAAATGTAGCTGAAAAGATAGAACAAGCTTAAATTAGCAGAATAAAGCAAAAAAGAGCATGTTTGCCCAATTAGGTTTAAAGAAGCAGACATGAGCACAAAGAAGTGGAAATGATATGAAAAATGTATAAATTAGCAAAAAAAACCCAAAAAAAAAAAACAGCTGAAAGTCTAAAAAAGCTGAAAGAAGCTTAAATTACCAGAAGGAAGTGGAGAGAGAACAATTGTGCCCAGTTAGGAAGCATAAGTGAGCACAAAGAAGTGACAATTATCAGAAAAAGGCTGAAAAAAACAAAAAAACAGCTAAACAATAGCTAAAAAAGCAGAAAGAAGCTTAATTAACCAGAAGGAAGTGGAGAGAGCACATTTTTTATGAATTAGGCTGGAAAAAAGTTGAAATGAGTGCAAAAAATGTGGCATTAGGTCAAAAAAGCTAAAATTAGCATAACAGCTAAATACTAGCTGAAATAGCAGAAAAAGCTGAAACTTGCACAAATAAACTGAAACGGGCATAATAAACTGAAATTAGCAGAAAGAAGTTGGATGAAGTACAAAAATGTTGTAGTTACTGTAGCAGAAAGACTCTGAAAGGAGAACAAAACAGCTCAAAAACACAGCTGAAATTAGCCGAAAGTAGCTGAAAAAGTTTAAAATTGCACGAGGAAGCTGAAAGGAGCTGAACCTGAACAAAATGTGAAAGGAGCAGTAAAAGGTTGTAAACAGGTCTAAAGAGTTGAAGGATGTAAAATAAGCTCAATTCATTTTCTACGAGAAAAAAAAATGGCAGAAAAGGCTAAAATATTTCAAAAAGCTAAAGTTGCACCAATAACAAAAGTCACAGCAGGATTGTCCTGAAACAGCTGAACGTTTTGATATATGATTTGCTGAAATAGCACAAAAGTTGTGGAACGAGGAAGATGCCAAAAAATGTACAGAAGAAAAAATGGATCACAATAGTGTGAATGCTTCATAAACAGTCACACAATAAAAACAATAAAAAAATAAATAAAAAAAAACAGCTTGTTGAAATGCTGTCCTGAATGTGGAGAAAAGACTCTGTGACTGTTTATCAAATGTAGAAACAAAGGTTTGGCTCTCTGGTATTTTGCACAACATAAATAAATCAGCTGTAATCAGAGCACTTCCACCCAAACAACCCTGATTTTAGCCTTTAAAAATAAATACGCCTTAAAACACCAACATCACGCCGACAGAAACTTTCATTTAGAAAAGATTTATTTTTCATTCAAGAGAAAATAAACGTGTTATATAGTACATACTTCCTTAGTTTCTACTAAACCTTAAGTAGCTGCATTCCTCAGACCTGAACCATTCTTTGGTTGGAACAATAATGCAGCCGAAACATTTCCACTCTGGGCTTCATCCTTCAGGGAACACTTTGATTCAAATGGTGACACCGTTAAAAACAACTGACTTGCCCTTTCATCCATCACCGCTGAATTCCAGCGTGACTAAATGGAAAACGTCACTTAAACTCTCCCTCTCAGGCTCGTCTCTGCTCAGACTTGCTGTAATTACGCTGCCTGGACGACTGAGCGAAGTGAAGATGTTCCCCAGAGTGAAGACATCCTCGTCAGATGGAAAAACATGGACAGGTGGACATTAAACTCCAGCTGTTTCCTAGAACACGACATTGCACGTTGATAATAAATGCCTACAGAAGGGATGGAAAGAAGCCCCTCGTAAAGCTCAAAATGATGAAACTTTGAAACATGAACCTGACCTTGCTCTCTCCTCTTCTACAACTTTATTTCCACCAGTTCCTGAACGCACAGCTGATTAGGAATCCTGTCAGTGCAGCAGAGCCCAGAGGCGAGGCGAGCCTCCGACTTGGCTCTAATGCACATCTGGTTTTTGGAACTCCACTATAATTGTGAGAGGACGGCGTAAGGTGGGGCAGGGTGGTGGCTGTGCTACATCCTAACCTGCAGGACTATCTCTGAGGGTGAGAGGTTGGAAGTGGGTGTCTGAGGAATGTGACGGGCAGAAAGTGAGAAGAGCTAAAAGCAGAGAGGGGAATCTGGAGGACAAGGTGGGTGGAGTTAGACGGAGTGAAAACAAAACTAAGACAAAACGATAGCAACAGATTCAGGAAATGCAATGCTAAACATAGGAAGAGTAATCCTGGAAGTTTGAGTGTAAATAGGAACTAGAGAAATTACATTTCCTGCGAAAATGCAGTGTGAATGCTTATAGCTGAAGAACTTGCTGAAAAACAGCTGAAATTAGTTAAAATATGCTGAAATGCAGCTGAAATGAAATAATAAGGATAAGTTATCAGAAGAAAGCAGATCGAGCACATACTATATTTGGTGACTCATGTTCACCAAATACAACCCCTACTCGGTCCCACAAGTTATCAAAAAAAGAAAAGAAAAGAAAAAACAGCTGAAAAGTAGCTGAAAAGTATAAAGAAACTTAAATTACCAGAAGGAAGTAGAAATATTGTAATTGTTTTATGCCAAATAATTGGCATAAAATGAGTAAATTAGCTTAAAAAAAAGGCTGAAATTAGCAACAACAACAACAAAAAAATAGCTGAAAAGTAGCTGAAAAGGCAGAAAGAAGCCAAAAGTACCAAAAGGAAGTGTAAGGAGCTGAAATTAGCTAAAAAAAAGTGGAATTAGTTGACAAAGCTAAATTTAGCACAAAACAGCTAAAAAGCAGTTGGAAAAGAGAAAAAAGCTGAAACTAGCAGAACAAAGCTGAAAGGAGCATACCATGCTGAAATTAGCATAACTAAATTAATTAGGCTGAAAGTAGCAGAAATTACCATGAAAAACTCAATTTATCTGAAAACGGCTTAAATTAGCTAAAAACGCTAAAAAGGTAGAGCTGAAAAGGTAGAACAAGCTTAAATTAGCAGAAGAAATCAGAAATAATATGTTTGCGGAAAGAAGCAAAAATGAGCACAAAACGTAGAAATTGTACGAAAAAAGCTTAATCATAATAATAATGATAATGTGTTTTGTATTGTCATCATTGTATGCCCCCATACAATGGTGAAATTGACTCTCTGCATTTAACCCATCCACCACCAGGTGGTGCGGTGGGCGGCTGTTGGAGGCGCCTGGGGAGCATTTGGGGATAGGGTGTGCTGCTCAGAGACACCACGAGATGTGCAATAACTGGGACTTTCAGGTCCCGAGTTGGCTGACCTGCCTCTACCCCATCTCGGTCACCCAAATTAACAAAAAAAAAAAAAAAAACAGTTGAAAAGTAGCTGAAAAGTATAAAGAAACTTAAATTACCAGAAGGAAGTAGACATAGCACTTTTTTTTTTTAATTAGGCTGAAAAAAGCTGAAATGAGTGAAAAAATGTGAAATTAGTTGAAAAAGCTTAAATTAGCATTAAAACAGCTAAATACTAGCTGAAATAGCAGAAAAAAGTAGAAACTAGCAGAAAGATTTTGAAAGGAGCCCAAAACAGCTGAAAAAACAATTAAATGAATTGAAAGCAACTGAAAAAAAGTTTAAATTTGCAGAAGGAAGCTGAAAGAAGCTGAACCAGAACAAAACGTGAAAGGAGCAGTAAAAGGTTGTGAACAGATCTAAAGATTTGAAGGAGGTCAAATGAGCTCTATTCATTTTCTCTGACCAAAACAAAATGGCAGAAAAGGAAGTCATAGCGCCCTTCTCCTGAACAAGCTGAACGTTTGATATACGATTTGTTGAAGTAGCTTGAAATATGCGAGACGAGAATTGTGTCGAAAATCTATGGAAGAAAAAAGGATCACAATAGTGTGATTGATTCATAAACATTCACCCAATTACTAAATAAAAAAATACTGTATGATGTCTGCGAGAGTGAAAAGTCGTTTCAATTAACCCTTTACTAGACAGATCACAACACGTGTTTTGTTGCAGTCACTCTTTCACGATTATCTTTAACGTCAAATAAACTACAGCACACTGAAACTAACAAAAGTTTCTAAAGTCCTTGCAAAGAATTTATGTAAACTAGGAAAAGAAAACGAGAGAAATAGACCAAAACCCCATTCACTGCAGTTCCGAAAAACCAGAGACCTTCTGCACGGATCATCCACTCGCCAACAAAATGTCTGGTGAAAAATACTTTTCTTTTTTATAAACACCAACAAATTGGCAACTTTAAATAACTCAGTTTTTAGTGGCTCTAAAGAAACTTGGGATACAGATTTTAAGATTTTTTTCAAAAAACTGTTAATATCTGAGGGGATTTGAAAACAAAATCCTTAAGTAGAAACTTTCTTTCCACAAACGTAAAAGGCAGATGCAGCTCATTGGCTGTCGCTCGTCAATGACTTTTACTGCAAAGAGTCGATGTTCCAGAGCAATGCCCAGTGAGAAAATGGACCAAACGGTTTTCTGTAAAAGAACCGGGTCAATAATTAACAGAGAAATGTTGTTCCATACCGTATATCTGGGCTTGTCCATGTAATGACTCGGGAGTCTGCTTTCTTCATTGCCACTTCCTTCTCCTGAAGCCTGGAGACCAAAAACACAGTTCACAACACATCCTGTAGCTGTTGGCCTCGAAACATCTAGCCCTCAGAATAAGTGGTTACCCTGCCCCCTCCAAGCACCCAAGAATACTTCACATGATTTTCTTGGTCAAAATTAAGTCACTGGCATTTGAAGTTTAGTCACTGTGTAATCACTGTTTGCATTCTGTACGACTGTCCTTTTCTTAAATACATCATTTGTGTCAGTACTTGGTACTAGAGTAATATGGTTTAATGAAGGTGCAACGTAATACTAGAGGTTAATCGAGGTTAATCATGAATGTAGTACTCCCTTACTACCTTGCACATGTGCATATTGTTTTTGTTTTTTATCCAAATTTGTGTATTTTGTTTCTTTTTTGATTATTTCATGTTTTTTTGTTTTTTTAAATTAGAACATGAGATTGGGATTAATAAAGTATCTATCTATCTAGAACTGCACAACATATTGGACATATACCCATATGAAAAATCCATCCATTCATTATCTTTACCCTGTTCATCCTTTCTGGGTCACAGGGGTCACTGGTGCCCATATCCAGCAGTCACTGTGTGAGAGGTGAGGGACACCCTGGACAGGTCTCCAGTCCTCACAGGGACACGGAGACAAACAATACAACAACACATTCACTCTCTCTCTCACACCTAGGGACAATTTAGAGTCACCAATCAGTCTAACATGCATGTTTTTGGTCTGTGGGAGGAAACCGGAGTACCAGGAGAAAACGCACGCGTGCACGGAGAGAACATGCAACTCCACCCAGAAAGGCCCTCAGCTGGGATTTGATCCAGTGACCTTCTTGCTGAGAAGCAACAGCTCTGCCAACTGTGCCACCGTGCTGCCCCATTTGGAAATCCATCATTTGAAATATATTGCCCTTTATCCAAGGTGTCACAGTTTTGGGATATTTTATGTGGTTGTTTTTCACAGTTTTAGTTGGTTAGTTTTGATTGTGTATCCATGTTTTGTCAGTTTTATGCATTAGATGTTTTCAATGATCCTGTACATTTTTCTGTCTTTGTTTCTTAGTTATTCTGTTTTTCTCTTACCTGTTCAGCCTGTTTTCCTGTTCGTAGTTTCCCTCAGCTACCCTGTCACACCCCTGCTGTTCACCTGTAATCATACCCAGCTGCACTCACTCACTCATCAATCCTTCCCCACCAGAACAAAACTCCTGGTGCAGCACCACTTGTCGGTCTTGGGTTGTGTGCCTTGGGTCTTGTGTAACGTAAACCCATTGCTTTGTTTCCATTGGATAAATGACAGTTAGGATTCTACCTGCCCCATCTAGTTATCAGATCATCTCCCTCTCCCATCTCCCACTAAACAGATCCAAATGAAAGTGGTTACAAAGCTAAACCAACAAGGAGAGCTCTGTTTCTCTGTCAGCATTAGTTAAGTGAATTTACAAGATACAGGCGTCTTGCAGTAAACTTCAGCTCAGTCTTTATTTTATTGGTGTGTAAATGAGTCTATATCGTTTGAGATGATGGGCTGAAACCAGAAACCAGTGAACAACATCGAAAGACGTTCATTCCGTCAGTCAGGACATGTTCTTGGTGGTCTGAGTGTGCAGAGCAGCTGTGAATGTTTCACTAAATAACAGTTAAGGCTGATGGTGGGCTGCAGTGAGGCACCTGTGTTTATATGTGGGTGGCCGGGGTCAGAAGTGATACCAGACTTTTATCATCACAGATTTACTGTTGCCAGTGAAACAAGACATCAAATAGATTTATAAATGGGCATATTTCAGGACAGCAATAATTCTCAGTCTGTATAACGTTCTGTACTTACTTTACCATCTGCACCATCACTGTCAACAAGTGCTCGAGCTTAGTATGTCGTGGACTGATGTGTTTACCCATTACTTTTTATATGACCTCTTTAAGGTAAATGATTGCAGAAATTACTAACACCTGATGAGGACTGCAGAAAATCATATCAACACCACAAGTGTCCTGTAAAATATAGCTGTGTGTCTCTTTTTTAATTGTAAAATTGGGTTTCACGCCTGTTTGTGTAGTAAATCACTTTGCATAGCATGTTTTTGGGCTGCTTAGTGTTTAGCGCTGTTGCTTCACATCAAGACGGTCCTGGGTTGCTCTAGGTTGAGCCTACGGTCCTTCTGTGTGGAGGAGTTTGAATGTTCTCCTTGTGTTTGCGTGGGTTTTCTCCATCAGTCCAAAAACATGTTTAGGCTGCCTTCAGGCCCTCCCTTGAAAATGAGATCTCTGATCTAAACGTGTTTGCCTGGTTAAATGAATGCAGAATGTAGATGCAAAATATACTCTATACTGTATAAGTTGACTTCAGACAACTAATATCAACACAGTCCATGCTCAATAATCCAGGTATACAATCCAATAATTTTCAGTCAGGTCACCTGGACAGTTTCTTTTTTTATTTTTTGTGCTGAAACGTTTCACCTTCCATCCAGAAGGCTTCATCAGTCAAGGAAACGCACAACACAAAACGGATTCTTCCCCCAACAGTTTACTCCAAAGTGGAACAAACCAGTTATGTTGGTGCTAAGATTGACCATTAAAGTGCATTTAGTAAGGAAAAAGTTAAACTGAGAATCACCTTTGCTATAATGTGGAGCAAACAAATTTGTTTTTAAGTGTTAATCTTGTTAAATTTCGAAGAACTGCAACAGCGAGTTCTTCCGTGAGTGCTCCCGCAGCAGCCAATTGACTGCTGGCATGACACCACATCTCCCGGGGGTCAGCAGTGACGCATAATAAACGTGACATACGTCGAAGCGACTTATACACCAGAAAATACGGTAATTTGTCTTTAGGAAAAACTCTAAAAGAATTGTTCACTAAACTCAATGTTGTACTTTAAAGCATTTGAAAGAAGATAAATCTCTTTCCCCTAATTGTGCCATGAATTTTGTGACTCTACCAGATTCAAAGGAGCCAGAATTCACCTTAGAAACATAACCAGGTTTACAAAAACAAGCTCAAAAGAAAGAACCCACCACTGCAGCCTCACAATGAAGGATTGAAAGGATCACCTAACTAATTCACATCAGTTATTTTCACTTTTCATGCAAAATCATTTTATGGAACAGTTATTTTGCCTTTTTATTTTTAACTTAGCCTCATAAAAACTTCTACTAAATGCCAATTACATAAGTGAATGCAAATTTTGTTGTACTTTTGAACAGATACTGAAAACAATACTGGTAACGGACCTTTAGAACAGCAAAATATGTGATTTATTCCACATTTACATTATCTGCAAAATACTCCTTAATCGTTCCCCACTTGAGGTTGGATCCAGTTTTGTAATAAAGTCTCATTTCCCAGTTTTATTTTACTTTCTTTCATATTTTGTCCACTTTTGTTCTTGGTATTGTTAATATAAGTTCATACATTTGTATCACAAATCAACTGATTTTGATGACATTCTCTGTGTTTACAGCGTTGAGACGAAGAGGAGGGTGCACAACGTAATCTTTCCAAGGCAGCCAAAGAAACTAACCACGCTAATAAACAAAGTCTAGAAGTGTTAGCCAAATGGAGACAGTTGGGGCGGGGCTTGCACGCCTTTACCATCCTGCTGTTGACAGATGCTGCAACCAGACAACCTAGATATTTTCATTTAGTGGACAGACATGTAACCAACAGGGGTAATCCTAAAGAGGCAACACAACCCACTGCTATCATTATGTTTAAGCAACTTTGTTGAAAAGCAAATAAGTGGGATTTTGGAAGTGTACAGTAGATTGCACAACTTGGAAGTGAACCAAAGAGCAAGAAAATAAAACGGTGTGCTGGATAGGTACATTTTAATAAAGTGAGAACAAAACGGGGATTAAAATGCAATTTATCTTATTCAAGAAGGTTTTTGCAGGTATCAAAGTCCATGCTCAAAAATCCAGGTAAAATTTCCAACAAAGTTAAGTCGAGTCATGTGGATGGAGGATGAAATGTTTCAACAACAAAAATAAACCATCCAAAGGACTTCATCAGTCCAAGGAGCCACAATAAACTCAGTCCCACAAGCAGCACACTCACGTCAGTGGGAGAAGAGGGCCAATTTAACCATTTTACCACCATCAAACTGGTTGGTCCACTATAAGTGTGCTACTTATGGGGCTGAGTTTGTTGTGACTCCTCGGACTGACGAAGTCCTTTGGATAAAGGACAAAGCGTTTCAACAAAAAGAAACCACCCTGATGACCTGACTTAACTTTGTTGATTTTTTTTTCATGTAGTTGAATCTACGGCATGCTGTTTTAAACAAAAGAGCTGTGTAACCCTCACTGTTTTGCTTTTCAATTTTTGGATTTGCAAACCCTTCACTCAATAATGTAGTTAAATTAAAACGAGATAGCGCCCGAGGTTGTTTAGACATGTTCGTTTTCAACAAACTCATCAAAGAAAATCTTTCTATTGTTCTGCAGTGAAAATCCAGGAAAAATGTACTTGTGGTCAATTATCTTAAAAAAAAGAAGTAATTAACTCACCATATCTGAATCATCTTCCTCTTCCTCACAGAGTCTCTCGGCAGCACGGGGGTCTCCCACCACCCTCAGCTCACTGATCACACCCTGTTGGAAAACACGTCTTTGGTGTCTGATGATACACATGGTCATGTCAGAATAGCACGTGTTGAATTGAATTTAATTGAATTTGAATTGATAATTTTATTTCAGACAGAAACATGAAAGTCTTTATTATTATGTTTTGTTGGTGTAATGTCTAAGTGTAAATACAATATCTTATTATTAAATATACATACTCGATTTTTAAATACTCAAATACATGTAAATACTCCACTTTTTTGGTGACTGTGAGTCTGAAAAGGAGTATGATGAAGTTTAACTTATATAATCATACCCCTTTTCCATTCATTAATTCATAGCATAAATAGTCTTCCTGTTGCCAGTATCCTTTCCAAAAATAATAATTAAATTGTTCTCATATAAACGCGTCTGCTCGTCTCTGAACTTGTTGGTATGTGGGATTTTTTTTATCATCCCAGGGAATCCCCTCTACTAGAGAACTGGGACTACTGAAGTCTGGTTTTAACCTCTTTCTGTGAAGTGCCAGTATTTCTGCCTCAATAACACAATCTGTTACAAGCTCCCACACAGGAAACGCACTGATAGCGTGAACACTATCTTCCTGGCTATCAAAGCCATTAGCTGTGGTGTCTCTGCTGGTATATTTGAAGTTGACTGTTTATAGATACATTTATGTCCTGAGTAAAACACCAAATGGAGCTTTTAGGAGAACTTTGAAGATAAATGGCTCTTTGATATTTCAAATCTTTCTTTCTGCAGAAATTTAACGGGTGTTTTTGAGTAGGACAAGGCCTTTTCTGTCGGATGTTTAGCTGTCCATTTGTCCCTTTCTCTTTTATCATAGCGCTTTAGATCCTTATCATAAATCTTAAGTTCTCAACATGAAAAGGATCAATCACCGAGGCCTTCATCATTTTTGGCTTTGAGTAGAATGAACATTTTTATATTTGTATATTCGCTTAAATGTTTTTTTTTTTTAAGCTTCCAGTTCCAATTGATTAGGGGAAATTAAAAGACACAAGCTTGAAGCTCACTAGACCATGATTCTTAGTGCTAGTTGTGAACAAGCAATTGTGAGAGAATTGACACATTTTTAACTTGGAATCACTGACTTTATGCCTACAACACAGTACAAATACAAATAGCACTTAAGAGATCAGTCCTCAAGGACAAATGTATTCAAGCTTTCATTAAAAATGATTTTGTGAACATGTATTTCTAATAAAGTAGCTAGCTGTGAAGAAATACCTAGGAAGTACCTTGCATGTGTGCAATATATATCATGTGCATTTAAGCTTATTTTACTACCTGTGAAATACTTTTTCATACGAATTCATCCTACCAGTCCCGTAATATTCTACTATGTTGTCATTTACGATATTTGTTTTGAATCTTGTAAATATTATATTTCTTTTTCACCTTTTTGTACTTGATTTTGTATCCTTATTGCATGCTTTAGTTTTATTTTTTCAGCGAGTCAAATCAGTTCTTCTCATTCTGAAAAGTAACATTGTGATCTATCTATCTATCTATCTATCTATCTATCTATCTATCTATCTATCTATCTATCTATCTATACACAATTTGCCTTTTTTGTCAAAAGTATATATTTTTTTTCTTAGCTTTGTGCTTCTAATAGCAATTTTTTATTTTATTTTAACAAAACAAGAAGGTAAGTTGTTGAAATAACTGAAAACCAGTAACATAAGTAACATAACCAGTAACATAAAAGCTTTGCAGAGAGTGGTGAAGGCTGCACAGAAATCTGTTGGAATCAGTCTCCCCACCATCACAGACATCTACACCTCCAGATGCAGGAAGAGGGCCACCTGCATCATGAAGGACCCCACCCACCCAGCACATACACTTTTTGCCCCACTCCCCTCAGGAAGGAGGTTAAGGAGCATTAAGTGTAGAACCACTAGACTGAGGAACAGCTTGCTGCTGATCTGTTTCAGGTTGCTGCTGATCTGTTTCATGTTGCTGCTGATCTGTTTCATGTTGCTGCTGATCTGTTTCAATGTTGATGTGTTCATGCGTGCACATCTGCTCACAGACTCATGTTCATGTTTGTGGTGATGTTCAATGTTTTATGTTATGAGTGCTTAGTGTATATTTAGTTGATGTTTTTCTTAGTTCATATCTTAGATGTTACTGTTTTTCTTATACATTTTATTGTTGGATGTAACTGGGACCCTGTGGACATAATTTCGCTCCACCACATGTACCACATGAGGTGCGAATGACAAAGAAACTCTGACTCTGACTCTGACTCTGACAAACTACTGCGAATGTGGTCATCATATATCAAGAAAAACGCAAAGGTGCATTTTTAAAAAGGATAAATAAAAGCAAAACAAGTCAATAAGACATGTGTAAATTAAAACCATTGTTTTGTGACAATTTCCATCAAGAAAAAACAAAACTTGCCAGTTAGTGAAGTATCACTTCTGCTGCACTAATAAACCTCCAACATATGAGGTCAGCAGTCGTTGGCAGTTAGAACAGTCAGCTGACTGATGTTAATTAAAATCCAAATGTGAGGTGTTTTAGGTACTTACAGGAGAATGGCTGGGGGGTACAGACATGTTTATTATGATTTGGTGTCAAACCAGTTTAATCTAAAGAATCACATGATAGTCATTCAGCTGAAATGCTTCATAATTAGTAAAACCAAAAACACTTAAATGCACTTTGCCAAGGTTTCACACAGCAGGACTCATGTCTCAGAGTTAATTTACCCTGCAGAAAGCACAAGTTTAGTAATGTGTCTATAACAAGATTTTTTATCTATTCAGTAGAGCAGGTAGAAAATGTTTACTTTGATCACAAGCTATATTCTTTAGTTGAAAGCAGCCACAGCCTGTGTACGTACCTCAAACTTGTCAGGTTTCGACCCTCCAGTTCGCCCAACAAAGACCCCAGCACCAAGCTTCAGCTCCATCTTCTCCGTGGATCTCTTCATGCGCTTCACTTGAGGCTCTCCGTCACAGTTAAGGTACAACGTCACCTTGTCGTCCCTCACAGAAATAGCAAACCGGTTCCAGGTCTCGGTCATTGAGGGCACGTGGAACCTGGCTGCTTCTTTGGACTGCGCCGAGTTCGTCTCGGTGTAATAAAAAATGACCTCCTGTTTGTCTTCCTGCACAGCTGAAAGTCTAACACCCACATGCATGATCTCCTGGGACGAATCTGTGATGGAGAAGAGGACCCCACCATTGTCAGAAGTGGGTTTCACACTGAAGATGAGTGCAAAGTTTCTGTAGAATGAGCTTGGGAAGTGGGCGAGGGCCAGTTGGCCTGTGCTGGTGTCTGGACCAAAGAGGTAGCCAGGCTTGTTGTCGGGTCCTTCAACCTTGGGGATTTCATCTGGAGGTGGATCCCCAATCAGTTCCAGCAGTGAGACGCTGTCGTCTTCTGGTGAGGAGAAACAAGATATCAGGCCTCAGTATGAGCACAGCAGAGAGGAGGTTAGGAGGGAGGGCAGCACAGCAGGGTTTGGAGTTAGACCAGGGACAGTAAGTCTGTTGATGGGTGGTATGTAAAAAAAAATGCAAAAATAAAAGTGTTGTTATTTATATTAGACCATGAGTAACATAAATACCCCCTTTTGTTTAAAGCAAAGTCAAATCAAAGGCTTTATTTACTGATTTTATGGACTTTTAAAAAAAGTTTTGAAAAACAATTCTGCTCAAGAAACATCTTTGCTCATTGAATCAATGACCAATGGACTATTTTTTTTTATTATTGAAGATATTTTGCTTCTCATTCAAGGACCTAGCTCCATTTAACCTGCATTCATGATGCTTTAACTGAGAAACCCAACAATTTTCAGTCAGGTCATCTGGACAGTTTCTTTTTTGTTTTTGTTGAAATGTTTCACCTTCCATCCGGAAGCCTTCATCAATCAAGGAAACACACAACACAAAACTGAATCTTCCTCCAAACAGCTTACTCCAAAGTGGAACAAACCAGTTATGTTGGTGCTCCTCCTCGTCGACAGTCATGTCAAAATGGTTCAAAACCAAAAAAGTCCATGCTCAATAATCCAGGTATACAATCCAACAATTTTCAGTCAGGTCATCTGGACAGTTTTTTGTTTGGAACCAGTTTGACATGACTGTCGACGAGGAAGAGGGCCGGCTCCAGAGGAGGGGGCATGCCAAAGACACCATCTTAGCATCAACATAACTGGTTTGTTCCACTTTGGAGTAAGCTGTTTGGGGGAAGAATCAGTTTTGTTGTGTGTTTCCTTGACTGATGAAGCCGTCCGGATGGAAGATGAAACATTTCAGAAAAAAAAAAAAAAAGAAACTGTCCAGATGACCTGACTGAAATCTGTTGGATTGTATACCTGGATTATTCAGCATGAACGTTTTTGGTTTAGTTGAGGAACCTCCTCAGTTGAGAGGTAAAATATCTTGATAAGACAAAAATAAAAGCAAAGCTCCCTTCAATTCAACTCCAATAGATTATCATGTCCCCTGTGATTTTTTTTTATACCAGCATACTTTAGACACAAAATTCAGAATTTTTTTCTTAATCTAACCAAATCATAAGCAAAATAATGCAAAGTCGTACAAGACTAACAAAGCACCAAAGCACTTCTAATCAATAAAGGAATAACAGATTATATGCTGTGACTTTGGGCTATTTTATTGCACTCCATGTATGAAAAAATGTATTTTCTCTGTTTCATATTGTAATTCTTCTATAAATTAATTTTCTTCTTTTTTCTTTTTGAATTCAAACTAACACAACAGGCTCTGAAAACAGACAGGGTTCTATAGTACCACATTCCAGAGAATGCTAAAAAAATGAAAATAAATCAAGGACCAAAACTTTTCCAGCTGGGGTGACATCTGTTAAATGTCACTGCTGCAGGGCAACACAGTGACCAACAGCTGGCCTTCCAGCATATCTTGCTCTCTTTTCCATCACCCTACGACTCTTGCTGGAACAAAGATAAATAGCTGGAAGTGTTTAAAAAAAAATAAAAAAAATAAAAGCACGAGTAATAACTCACTTGGGTGGCAACACAAGTTTTTGTAGTGGCAGCAATTGTCCTGAAACCAAAATGTACTGCTTTGATCGAAATAAAGTTTTCTCGTATTGAAAGACAAATCACAGAAAAGACTGTTTTTGGACAGCATGTGACGTATTTTGGTTGCTTTGAAGAAATGCTTTTGTTAACCACCTGGTGAGAATTGTGTGCCTGTGTCCCCACTTCAAAGCCTCCCCACAGCCCTGGGAGCGGGGGATCAGTGTGGCTGACAGGCGGCTCAACTTGGCTGAACTCCTCAGTCTGCTTTCTGCAGTACGGTCATAAACTCCAGCCCTGATCATCTGTGAGCTCTGAGGACTACAGAGGGTTTTATTTGAATCAGAGCTGACAGAAGCAAGACAAACTGGAAGAGGACAAGACATCCTCTTGTGCAGATACTCTGATTATTTCTGTTTCAGATTCAGCTATTTACATGTAAAAGAAAATATGACTCAAACTATGAATAAATGGGCAACTAAATATGAACTGTAAAGACAAACAACAATCATCAATGATTAATATCAGTTTTCAAAATTTTCTGGAAAACCTGTGCAGTGTGACTGCTGCTGCTATGACATATTGTTCAACCATCAGCGCTTCAATAGCCGACTCCTTTTCCTTATCCGCTAAACACTTTTTAAACTATGAATCCAATAATGAGTGCTTACTGGTTCAAATGATTATTTTCCATCCATCCACCCACCCACCCATCCATCCACCCACCCACCCACCCACCCACCCACCCATCCATCCATCCACCCACCCATCCATCCATCCATCCATCCATTCATTATCTTTACCCGCTTCTTCCTTTTTGGGTTGTAGGGGTTACTGCTGCCCATATCCAGCAGTCACTTTGCAAGAGGCGGGGATACCCTGGACATGACTCCAGTCCATCACTAGTGTAATGCTAGGAAACGTCTTAACTGCTACTACTTTCCTTCCCTCCATTGATTACGGTGACATTATTCACATGAACGCTCCTACAAGCACCCTGCAGATGTTGGACGCTGCCTATCACGGTGCACTAAGATTCATAACTGGCTGTAACTACTGTACCCATCATTGCACCCTGTATTCACTGGTTAACTGGTCACCAATAACTTCACACAGACTCTCTCACTGGTACATTTTCATCTTTAAATCACTTCTTGGTTTGTTGCCTTCATACATCTCCTACACGTCTCTGTGTGAGTGCAGCTACAGCGTGCGCTCTCAGGACATTATTACCTGCAGTGTCCCCTCAGTACGGACTGAACTAAGCAAAAGGGCCTTCTCCTACTCCGCTCCCGTTTCCTGGAATATCTTGCAAAAAGATCTGTAGCGCTCGACCTTGACCTCTCTAAGTGGCTTCAAATATCTGCTACGTTCATGGGAAAAACCAACGCAGACATGTTCCTGTTTTTAGTTTTCTACATCGCCTTACAACCTAGCTGCCTTTTTTTTTTTTAAATACCATTTTATTTTCACTTGTTATTCTCAATTTGTATGCATTCTTTATGGTTGTCTATTGTTGTCCACTGTTAACACTCTTTGTTAAAATCAGGTCTCTCTTGTAAATGAGTCCCCGAGGATCAATGGGATTAACCTGTATAAATAAAAGTTGAATGGATGACTCACAGGCACACAGAGACAAACGAGACAAACCACCATTCACTCTGTCACTCACACCTAGGGACAATTTAGAGTTACCAATCATGCATGTTCTTGGTCTGTGGGAGGAAACCGGAGTCCCAGAGAAAACCCACGCATTCACAGAGAGAACATGCAAACTCCACCCAGAAAGGCCCCCGGCCGGGATTCAATCCAACAACCTTCTCGCTGAGATGTGGCAGCTCTACCAATTGTGCCACCTGATTCTGCATCCTTACAACTATTTTCCTGTCTATTACAATATTTTTTTTATGATTTGTGCACCAAAACTACTTCAAACTTCTGGCCTTTTTAGCCATTCACACATCCAAACATTCGGCTTACGAGTGCCATGACTTGTCTAGCTTTTAGCTAGGGTTCTACTCCTTTCAAAATTCACAACTCTGCTTCAGTTTTTCCAGCTCTCAGGATTCACAATGCATTTTCTAAAAACAAAAAAAAAACACCATCTCCTAGTTTAGATATATTGTTAGACTGATACTTTTGTCAGACCTTTCCAAGATACTCAGTTCTCATATGACAAATAAAAACATACAGTCTAACATCTATCAATTGTTTTTCATACGAGTTAGATTTTACAATAAACTCAGTGACTTGTTCAAGCCCTTTATCATTTTTCAAATATCTCAGTGTGAGCGGACCTTACTACTGAGAATCAAACCTTTATGAATCTTTCTGAACTTGTTAAAAGCAAAGTAAACATTTCCTATTCAAGTTGGGAGGAAACATCTCGACAACAAGGCTCATGTTAAGAACTTTACAGGTACACTTTGACTGCTGCATGGATGGCAACTTACAATAAACAGTCATTTACACCAAGCCAACCAGATGTTTACTCTGATAAACTCAGAGTGGCTTGCCTTGAGGGTCTCTTTGATGGGCGTGTGCACACATGTTTGAACCTGAATCCATGTGTGCATTCTATCATTGAAAAAAAAAAAAATGGTTGTAATTCAGCTGTGAAATGCAGAATTGGGTAAAGCACATCATTTACTTTGTAAAATGTTTCCATTTGATGCTGAAGCTGGCATGAAATGTTTAAAAGGCAGACAGTAATTTGTCATTTATTGTAACATTTTTACATAAGACTTTATTTCTTTCAAGAACGTAGACACGTATCTGAATACTTATGCCAAATTATCATATGTGCATGCACATCTTTTTGGAAACTTTCTAAAGCTGTTATTAGCAAAAGCATCTCGCCTGTTAAATCACACGAACCAGATGTGCACTTGAGAGATATATTTCAGGAAATATTTATTAGCAACAACAGCAAGGAAATATTTATGTGCTAGACAACAATCGACCACCTTTACAACAAAACACACTGAGGCAGTAATTACCAGTAGATGATTTCAAAGGTGAAGTCTAATGAGCAATGAATGCTTTAACTGAAGTTGAACTGGGGCAGTCACTCCCCCTCAGAGATCAAAAATGTTGGCCACACAACAGTTTCATCATTAGCATTTTAAGTGCAATCTCAGTTCGGGTTTTCCAAGCGGCCTTTGTTGAATACTGACAGCTTCAAGGTCAGTTGGGCACAAAAAAAAAGAGCTGCTGATGAATGGAGCCGGGCTGGATTTTTATGGTGCTAGTTTGTCTTGTCAAGCCGACCACTCACTGACCAGGAAAGCAGCTTTTTGTTTTGCCTTAACATTCCAGGACGGGGTGCCGCAGTTTGTGAGACCCCGTTGATGAAGCTGTTCATCGAGTATGA